AAAAAAAAAAAGCAAGGAAAAAAAGATAAGGCGCAATCTAAGGATAGCCTTGAAACAAAGGCTTCACACGGCCACCTCGTGTCGATACCTGAGGCTGAGCGAATCAGACTGATAAAGTTCGTGAACTGGACCTCCCTCGTCACACATATGTTAACACAAATGACGAGTAGGCCAATCGGGGTGCCGCGAGATATACAGTCTAAGGACTAGCCTGGGACGCCTTGTACGCAATTGCAGGGTTTAGCTTGTCTTATTTCGTTCAGCGATTCGGAGCATAAGCGAATGATATGCAAGCTGCGCTTCTGCCGAACACTCTCTAAACCGTTTGAGTCAACGGGCTGACAGCCCTTGCTAACGGAACTGCCGAGTCTTGGATTTGGCCCCCATTTGGCATGCTCAAAATAGGAGGTATCGCCGTACTTCCAAGGTTATCGAAGCATGGCAGCTGAACGGGCTCTGGCCGCTCTGCAGGCTGCCGAACCGCCATCCTCGAATGCAACATCCACTAATTCCATACTGGAGTAAGCGCATAATAAAGCCCTTGTAATATGAGTGGCAAATAATAAAAGGTGCATATGCAGGGAAATGAGTGCGCTGCTCCCAATGTAAGAACACGGCCGACGATGAGATGTTGGCCAGTCTTGTCAGGCTGGGCTAGCCGACAGACCCAGACCTGAACGACTCTCAGGAGGCTGTGCAATTCTGCAAGCATTGGAGTTGGTCTAGTAGAGCTAAAAAACGCAAAAAAACAAAGTAGAGACTGCTGTTATTGGGCGATAATTCAACACTAAACTAATTAGTATAGCGATAAGCGATGGGATGTCGAAAGTGACACTTGAGTTAATTCTGGGTTTCCCCACTCGAGGAAACCCACATGGGCCTTCAGAAGAACCTTAGGCCAAGGCGAAGGAATCGCTGAGGCTGAGCGAAGGTTATCTTACTGGCCAATTGCCTGGGTCGCGCTGGACACAGACCAAAAGCATCCCAAACCCGTGATTCAGCACGTGGTACGGAGTACTCCGTAGTTATGTTGTAATCCTTCTTGCTGTACCCCTTGAGTCTTACAGAATATATATAAAAGATTTATAAATGGGTATGTATGCATACATCAAGACAACACTCCTTGCAATATCCAGTAACCTAATCTCTTTCCTGCCGGTCATCGCACCATGATTAACGCCATGAACAAAGGAATGGAAGACATGTAATAAACCGCAAACCAATCGGAAAAGGAAGATGTAGAATTAAAAGAAGACAAAGTGAATAGAAAAAAGGAGAAACATAAGAGCGTCGAAGGTATTCTGAGGGTAGGCAATAGACGCGAGAACAGGAGCGCTGTTACGCTATACGGATAGCGCCTCTGGGTCTGCTCCAGCCGTCCACGAATACATTATACATGACGAAGGTCTCTCTTAGTGCCTGCGTGTGCGACCGGAGTAGTAAGAGCTACCGTGCTGGAAGTATGGGTGCATGCAAGCCTGCTTGGCAGAGATACGCCGTGCTGGATCGTATTCGAGGAGGGCGTCCAGGAGATCAAGGCCATCTTCTTCTAAGCCAGGAACGAGTGTGCGGGTTTCTTCACGCTTCCACTTGGGGAAGGTCGGCTTATAGTCGGGGAAGGAGGTGACGCCAGGCCAGGCAATTTCGTCCGGTGTACCAAGGAGTCTGTGTAGAGAAAGCAGTCAGAGATCGTGACGTCCTTTCTTTCTTACGCTCTTCATCATTCGTCCTCGACAAGTAGGTCAACGTACCGGAAAATCTTGAAGATTTCATCGATTTCGGAGTCTCCAGGGAAAAGAGGCTTTCGAGTGCACATCTCTGCAAAGATAGCTCCACAAGACCACATGTCAACACCAGTGGAGTACTGGCGTCCACCCAGGAGGATTTCGGGAGAGCGATACCACAGTGTCACAACCTAAGATTGAAGGATCAATACCAATGTAGAATAAGGGCAATTAGTTTCAGTATAAATACCTCGTGTGTGTATGTTCTCAAAGGAACACCAAATGCTCTTGCCAGTCCAAAGTCTGCCAATTTCAGGTTGCCGTCACGGTCGATCAAGAGGTTCTGAGGCTTGAGATCCCGATGCAAGATACGGTGGCTGTGGCAATAGCGAATTCCCTCAATCAATTGAGCCATGAATTTCTTGACCATCGCATCTCCCAGCCCCATACTTTTGCTTAGTGCAGAGCCATCCGGGAGTGCTTTACCACGTCCACCTTCGCTTACAGGCAGGGCCTCCATATATTTCTTAAGGTCCAGGTCCAGGAATTCAAAAACGAGGTATAACTTGTGGCCATCTGCATGGACAATATTGAGGAGTCGTACAATGTTGGGATCGCTCATTTCCTTCAGCAAGGAGATCTCACGGATGGCCGTGCTTGGAACGCCTTCATCTTCTGCCTCTAACCGAATCTTTTTCAAGGCGACAATGCGGTTAGGATGTGTGAGCTCACGGGCCTTGTAAACAACACCGTAGGTTCCTAGAGAGAGGTACACGAGTCAGCCACTGAAAGAGCCTCAATTATAAAGGGTGGTCAAGGGTTGCAAAGCCTAGGGCCATTCTTCGGAACCATACCCTCTCCGATTTTCTCGATCTTCTGGTAGTTCTCCATGATGACTACGTGGTATCCGAAAGATAGCGCTACAGACTTTGTTCAGGCGAAGGATCTTAAGTTGATTGTCTCTCCTGAGCCACCGGAGCGCGGGGCAGTAAGCAGAAATGTACTGCAAAACGACAGCGTTGTGTTGCCCAGGGAAGAAGCGAGAAGCACAACAATAAACGGGGTTTTCTGGTTGGCGTCAAGTAGCTGCGCGTCGGTTGAAGGGATAGTAGTCAGCAACTACGATAAATGCAGACTGATCGCAGCTAAGCTCCAATCTCGAGCTTTCAAAGGTTTTGACTAGCCAGTTCCGAAAAACCTGCGTTGTCGAATCGATGGGTCACTTCAATGGAGTCTTTTCATGCCCGTTCTGTGGTGGGGAGCAAAGGCGGTCAAAATGATATCAACAACAGTAAACAAAACCCGCGTTTGAAGGCGGTGAGTACCTGACACCACTTTTTTTCATTTTTATCTTTTTTTTTTTTTGTCCCTCTTTTTTTTTTTGAGTTTTGTTCTAGATGTAGATAAAATCATTCCCAGACAAACAAGAATTCCTCATATCTTCTAATAGACACCGAGATTTCACATGTGTAATTATCGGTAGCAAGTCGAGGATATACGTGGCTTTGATATAGTCCGCACTAATATACTGGGACTAATGTTAAATGCAGTGAACTGATTCACCGAGTATTATACTGCATATAACGCCCGGTATGTCTCGCATTAAAGAACTCAATGCTCATGAACGCCCACCAGAGGCCATTCGTCACCGCTATAAAGAAATCCAAAAAGCTACGCTATCGGATATAGATTTGGATCATCAAATTATTGATCTCCAAGGTCTAAACCCCGATAAGCTTCCGAGCGACATATCTCTCGCACAATGGATGCCAGGTGCGCATGTGCAGCCAGTGTTCCACCAGCTTGTCCGTGCACACGGAGAAAGTCAAAAGGACGAAGATACTCTTATTAAAGATATTCCAGTATATACACATCAGTCCGTTTCTGGTCAGCATAATGCCCTAATGCCATTGTCAAATCATAGCAGAATCAGCTCCTAACACGCGGTAGGTTTGCAAATGATCCCGTCGTTGATCCCTCCGGCGGTACAAGTAGAGCTGTTGTCTCGTTTATTACATAGGGACTTGTCTAACAAGGAGCATCGAACAAACCTTCATCTACACTACAACATCATCTACCCAGGCGAAACGGAACATGCTCCCATTGAGCGTGGCATGTCGACGTCCTCGGCGGGTAATGGCTCAGAAGGCAATGGCATCCTGTCATTCTTCGAAGACGATCCGGCTCGTGTGGTCTACCCGAAGGATCCAGAAATTCACAAGCCATTGACTGTTCAACAAATCCTAAATAAGAAGCTCCGATGGGCAACCCTGGGCGGCCAATATAATTGGACTACCAAAGAGTATCCGGCGGAGCGCCCGCCAGCATTTCCAGAAGATGTTGCAAGTGTTTTACATGCGGCATTTCCACAGACAGAAGCACAGGCAGCCATTCTGAATCTCTACTCGCCAGGAGATACGCTGAGCCCTCATCGGGATGTGAGTGAAGAGTGTGATGTCGGTTTAATCAGTGTCAGTTTTGGCTGTGATGGCCTGTTCCTCATCAGTCATGATGATGGGAAGGGCTGTGAAATTGTTCGACTTCGCTCTGGAGATGCTGTGTATATGGACGGCACGTCACGTTTTGCATGGCATGCTGTACCCAAGATCGTCCCTGGAACATGCCCGGAATGGCTGGCTGATTGGCCATTGTGCGCTGTTGACGATACAGACACTTCAAAATACGACAAGTGGAAGGGTTGGATGTCAGGCAAAAGAGTCAATCTGAACGTTCGACAAATGGCGGTCACAAATACACACACTTGAACTATTATCACGAATTGATGCAGACACAAGGAAAAGATGAAGCATGGTCTCATATTAGCACAAAGATGCCCAAAACGGAATTAGAGTTAACACAGAAGTTTCTACTGTAGATATTCAGGAGGTTATTTACTCGATACGCACATATGAATCGATCCACTTTTGTATCAAGCATTGACTTCTGTCTTTCGGTAGCACTATAAATCCTTCTCTACTCAGCATTCTCGAACAGCATATAGAGAGACTACGAAAATGCGAAGCCCAGATGGCTATGTTAGTAGATAACTGGCTGTGGATGGTTGCTGTGAAAGCTTTGCCATGTTTATAGAACGACTTGGTAGAGCATAGCTGAGGCGGCAGACGCAAGTCAATAATAGTATATACCGTTTGAAAAAGAGCATTGAAATATTGTAGAATGAACAGTTATATGTATGTTGTATCAATATGTCAACACGACAAGAGACTGTTAGCTGAGAATTATTCATTATGGAGAAAAACTATTGACTGAAAACCATAGAAAACATAATCGAAGAATCTATAAGACCAGATTAAACATAAAGGTAAGTCTATGCTCCCGAATCCAAGCTCTGCGCCTCACACATCTTTGCATAAATACCACCCTTTTCAACCAACTCACCATGCCTACCACACTCAGCAATCCGGCCACCCAAAAACACGAATATACAGTCTGCCTCCCGAACCGTCGAAAGCCGATGAGCGACAGCAACTGTTATTCTCTCCCCACTTGTCGCAGCCTGCATCAATGCTCCCTGCACAACTTTCTCCGACTCTGTATCGAGCGCACTTGTCGCCTCATCTAAGAGTATTACCCGAGGATTCCTGATCAAGGCTCTTGCAATCGCAACTCTCTGTCGTTGTCCACCAGAAAGCTGGCTACCACTCGTTCCACAGGGCGTCTGGAGTCCGTCCGGCAACGAGCAAATAAAGTCCCATACATTTGCTGCCCGGCAAGCATTTTCGACCTCGGAGCTTGGAGCACTAGCTGATTCCGATGGTGCAATGTCCAGCCCATATGAGATATTCTCTAATATGGTTCCCGGAAATAATGTTGGCTCCTGTTGCACAAGAGCGACCTGCTGTCGGTATAAAATTGGATTCATGCTGTTAAGCGGGGATGAATCAACTCTGATGGTGCCTTGCGTTGGGTCGTAGAAGCGTTCTAACAGCGAAATCATCGTACTTTTCCCGCAGCCGGAGGCTCCTACTAGAGCTACAAATTGGCCTTTCCGAATCTGAGATGTCAAAACAATGTTAGTTCTGTGTGATGGTAATAGCACTGGAAGAAAAGAAGTGAAAGACTCCAAACGTACGTTAAAAGACACACCCTTCAGAATACGGGTTTCTGGTGCTAGAGGGTAGGAAAACTGGATATCTTGGAAATCAATCGCCTGGCATTGGTTTGAGGGTCCGTTGCCGCGGTTTTCTTTTGTTTCTTGGATCATGGGGGAGAGATTTGTTAACCAGAAATAGTAGTTTGCCGCTTCATTTGCCTTCGTGAAACTGCTCGAGAAGCTGAAGAGTTGGCCAGCACCTTGGCCAGAGAAGTATACACCCATGAAAGAGACGATGAACTGGTAAAACGTGATGTCTCCGTCATGGATCAACTTGGAACCCCACCTGGAATTATGGTCAGTCTAAGACTCATACCTATAAGAGTACTGCAGACAAAAGAAGAAGGGGTGTAAGGAAAAAACATACCAAAATCCTAATGCAAGGATAAAATACTCAATGGACTGAGTTAGGGAGAACCACACCATCATATTGAACAGAGGGCGGGTCGATGTTTGTATCGCCCGATCTAACTCATTGGTGTATCTCTTCAAGATATTCTCCTCCATAGCGAGCGAGGAGACTGTTCGGATAGAAAGCACCGCCTCCGAAGCCAGCGAAGCACTCTGAGAGAACCTCTTTCCCATATCCGTATCCATCTTGGTTTCAAGGCGGATACGTGCATAGCCTGCTATTAACATAGGCGGTAACCCGACAAAAACGCCCATTACACCTAGCTTCCAGGCTATAGCTAACGAGAGTATGCTAGACGCAAGTACATTGATTGCCGAGAGAAAGACAAGGGCAATGTTAAAGCCCATGAGCTCTAAAATCGCTTGTGGATGCGAGTCAAGCCGACTTGTTAATGCACCAACGGTGTTTTCAGGTCGGTCAAAAAACCGGAGGTCTTGTTTGAGCATGGAGTCCAGGAGGTCGTGGCGGAAGATCTTATTGAAAGTCTGATGGTTTGAGTTAATGAGAAGGCCATGTTCCAGGCAGATGATGCCGTACCTGTGCGATAATGTTTGTAGCCCAGCCTAGACCGAAGTAAACAATGATACAACCGAGCGCCATGACAAAATACATCAGGGCAATGAAGTTGCCACGCTCAACCATATTCGGCGCTGAGAATATGTCCATAACATTAGCTAGGAGTAGCGCTTGCCCGGGATAAATGGCAGCTAAAAGAGAGTTAGCCAATCCAATGGACAATAGTCGAATTATCATATTTTACCTCCTGCCACGCAACAGACTATAGTGAGGAAGTACCAGAGTCTCAGCTTGGGTGTAGCAATGACCAATTTGGCTATACTGCGAAGAATGCCGCTTCGTTTGTATAGTCCAAAGTCTTCGCGACGCTGGAGCATTGTCAGCTGCCGTGCCTCGGCCGTTTGATACCGAGCAAGAGACTGGACCGGCTCGGCCTCTTTATTAGGTGTCTCTTCGTCTTCAGTGCTTTGCTCCTCATCATCTGCCGATCGTGTTGTTGATAGATCTTGTGCCTTGACTAGACTCGCGTATGCACCACCCCTGGCAACTAGCTCGCTATGTTGACCTTGCTCGACAATTCTCCCTTTTGACATCACGACGATGTTGTCCGCATTGCGGATAGTTGCCAATTTGTGCGCAATCACTATAGTCGTTCTGTTCTTGGAAGCACGATCTAAAGCCTGCTGTACTATACCTTCGGCATGTGGATCTAAAGCGCTAGTAGCTTCATCCAAGAGGAGGATCTTTGGCTCAGAGATAATGCTGCGTGCAATGGCAATTCTTTGTTTCTGCCCTCCCGATAAAAGACCTCCTCTTTCACCAATTGGCGAATCGTAGCCATTCGGGAGGTTCATAATGAAGTCATGTGCAAATGCAAGTTTAGCTGCGTCTTCCACGCGTTTGCGCTGTTCTTCATATGGAGCGGCCTCCCATGGTGTACCGATAAGGCCATTCGCAATGTTGTCGAAAACGCTTCCGTTGAAGAGGACCGGTTCCTTACTAGTATTAGCCGTGTGTTGAATTTTTTTAATGCATGAGGCTGCTAGTCACCTGTTGCACAAGGCGGACGTTTGTGCGAAGCCATTTTATATTCAACTGCTCGATATCTCGCCCATCCAACTTTATTGAACCAGCCAACGGCTTATACCATCGCTCTAGAAGCCCAACGATTGTACTTTTTCCAGACCCACTAGCACCCTTGTTTTGCCATATGGGTTAGCACGCTCCCGGTTCGTATATGAAGAGAAGATGGGCAACTCACGACAAGGGCGGTGACCTTCCCTGCCGGGACATGAAGGGAGAAGTCCCCTAACACACAAACGTTTGGACGGCTAGGGTAATTGAAGGTAATATGGTCAATGTCTATCACACCACATGTATCTTGCGGCTTGTCCCCGGACGCGTCGAGCGGATTGATCTCAGATTTCCTGTCAATTAAGGTAAATAACTCTGCAGCTGCGCTAGCTGCACGTGTGAATGTTACTGTATGAGGCGCGATGGACGTAATGGTGCTGGCCGCAATAACCACGGAGAAAAGGACACTTTCGTGTGTTAACAGAGGATCATAGAATGCTTGTTTGACCAAAGCTAAGAGAGAGAAAGTCTGACATACGTGAAGACGGTACCAATGTCCGGGATATCACCTCGGGCGAGCATATGAATGCCTTGCCAAAATGCTAAACCCATTCCAGCATATATGATAAAGTATTCGGACCCGAACATGACGCCATAAACTGGATTCTTCTTCATCCCAATTTCAAACACACTTTGTAAGTATTGTTCATACTTGTGGATAATCCTGGGTCGAAGGCTGAACGCGTGGACAGCTCGAACACCGCTGAGAATATTTTCAGCATATGAAGCTGCCTGCGCGTTGACTTTAAGAATGTTTGTCTCGTATCCAGCATCAACGAACGAAAACCCCCCACCAACGACAAGCAGAGCCGGAACGATGCAGCAGATGATCAATGTCAGCTTCCAATGGCTGACAAATGCAATAATGAAAGCTGCTATGAACGTTGCAATTGCTTGGATGAAGATTCCTAGTTTCTCTGAAATTCCAGAATGGATTAACTTGCCATTGGATGTGGCTTGCGTTGATATTGAGCCGCTAGTACCTTGATCGAAGTACCCTGTTTCTTGACTGAAGGCCGCGCGAAGGTATTTGTATCGAATGTTTCTGGTCAAGTGGTAGGCTACGTATGTGAGGAGCGATGAGTAAATGTAGGTACAACCTAGCCTGGCTATTCCGATGTAGACAAAGTATAAGCTGTAAACGAACGGCATATGTTAGCTCTGGGTAAGAGAAGCCTCTTCCTATCAGGGGTGTAGAGTCTCACGAGAATTTGCTGACTTGTGACATAAAATTGTCTGGAAAACTAGTGCCTATGGTGGAACCACTGAGAAGTGTCATGAACTTGCCCAACACGAGGTTCACCATGGCTAAGGCGACGCCAGAGCCAATCGAAGCAAGCAAGCTGATCAACCCGAGGACATAGTCGATGGGTCGGCCGAATGTAAAGACTCTCTATAAATCGTGTTCAGTCAAGACAAGCGTGACCATTAATGAGGAAGTGCTCATATCATACCAGAAAACTTTTGAATGTGGAATGATTCTGTATGTCTTCATGTCGACTTTGATCATCTTTGTCTGAAGATTTCGAGGAACCAGCAGCTGGTTTCTCCATTACTGACGGATTTGTCAAGGCTGGACAAACACCGGTAGTTATATAATAGAATAGACAAGGACACGTTTTATAAGCGCACAACCATACTAGTAAATGGAAAGGAGTTCCTGTGAATTTCTTATGTACAAACTACTAACATTCCAGGGGCTGTCTAGATTTATATATGTCGGTATGATTCAGATCCACGCAGTCATCTTCAGCTGTGACACTAAACATCCATGGATAGATAACGTATTTGCCCGATCAGAAAGCCAAAAGAAATGGCCAAAGTGGAGGAACAAGGGGTGTCCCCTACCAATTGTCGTATCCAACCGAGAAGGTACTACAGTGGCTGAATTGGCATGTGCTCACAATGGTAAGATTCTACAGCACATCTTCTCTCAAAATAACATTATTAGGCCGTTAGACGGACTTGCGGGATGCCAAGACCCCGTTGCCGGACGTCGGAGTGCGGGTCCTTGGCATCCCGCGAGTCCGGCCCACTGACCAACATAGTAATACAAGTTCCTTTATGGTACTCTAGGCTTCATTGAATGGTCCATTTCCCCTTAGCAAGCCAGCTCCTTATGATCTACATTATACTACTAATAGCTCACCCAAAAGCCTCCCGCTCTGAGTTTTATCACTTCTGCACGGATGGAGGAGGATACCGATGACTTCGTGACTGATGACGTCTCCGCTATGGATAACGCCGAGAAAGAAGAGCATGAAAGACCACTAGAGTGCCAAGCACGAGCTGTACGAGTTTATTCCTGCGAACTTCATCAGATCGCTTGTTGACCAATGCTAGTGTAACCGCTGTCGACAGCGAAAGGTACGCGGCGCCACAATCACAACATATCCTATGGCTGCGAGACTAGTCACTCAGACACTCCCTTGCATTTTCTAGATTCGCTGTGATCGCTCAATTCCCTGCTCACAATGCATTCGTGCAAAGACTCGATGTATGTACTCAGGCCGCCTCAGACCGAGAGAAAAAAGGCAACGGGTTTTGATTTCAGCCCAGTAGTAAGTACTCCGCCATATAACCATCTCTTTTATGTGTACTCAGTATCAACAAGTGAACAAAGAATGGAATACATGGTACAGAAGCTGGATGAGCTCAGCCAGCAGGTGGCCACATTGAGCAATGCTTCATTCATCCCGTCGGGCTCCCATCAGTCTGCGATTATCGAACCACCTCCCGTGGATGAACGGGACCCGGATACCCGCCCATCAACATTTGTATCTCAGCCTCAAGTCAAAAATGACTTGAAAAGCTGTGCGGTAGCTTCCAAAGCTGAATATGAAGGCGGAACGTCGCTATCTGCCCACGCCATTTTTGCAACAAGGTACCTCCAAGACGTGGTTAGCAGCACAAACTCTGTCCAGATCGCGCAGGAGATGACCTCAATTCTTGATACGCTACATGGCATAGTTGACGATCAGAAACAGCAAAGGGATACCCTTGAAAACCTTTACCCATATGCCAAACCAATACCCCAGGGCTCTAGTATAAGACAGCTTCCTCTACCCCCTGTCGAAATGACTCTTACGTGCTTGCGGATGGCCAAAGGTGCAGCCCATAATCTCCATAATTCTTGCGCTGCTAGCTGACTAGCTACAACACTGATAGAGCAGCCCAGGATTCAGCGTTTTTGGCTCATTGAATTACTCTCTGTTTCGCAGTTCAACGACTACTTCTTGAGAGTTTACTCACCTGGGCCAGCCACAGATGCTGATATGATCATTGTGAACGGAGGCCTTTACTGGCTTTTCTGCGAATGCGCTAGCCTATTTGTAGATTCAAAAGTTAAGGAAAACTACATGTCCCAGGCTATGCTGTGTCGGGATAATCTTGAGACAGTTTTGTCAAATCTCCCGTTCCACATGCCAGTCAACACTGATGTTGTCTTTGCTATGAATGTTGCAGTAAGCTAACGAGCCTTTTCGCCCATCATCACTCTACCCCTCCCCCCGTTCTTTACTCCAACAAGTGCATGTCCTAAATTTACCCCAAGGCAACATACTGTCTTCAAATGGCCAAGCCCTCAATAGCATGGAGTTTCATTACCACAGCAGCACATCTGTGTCAAACGCTCGGCCTCCATAGCGCCCACTCTCTAAGCACAGACAACCCAGAAACTAAAAACGAAAAGATTCGCCTATTCTGGGCCGTGTTTCTCATGGAAAAATCGTTGTGCCTACGACTGGGCCGATCGTCATCTTTTCGAGATGAAGACATCACGGCACCGCGGCCTTCCCTTGGCCAGAGCATGAACTCACTGTTGGTGCCTAGGTGGATTGATTTAGCAAGAATCCAGGGAAAGACATACAGCGACATCTATAGCCCTAGTGCTCTAATGCAGTCGGTAGATACCAGAATATCCCGTGCAAGGAGTCTGGTGGCCGAGATAAAGAAACTTATGGATTCCGAAGATGAGTTTGAGGTAAGCTCCTACGTTTTCTCTACTCCACTATAATAATGCTAGGGCTATGCCTATGTTGAACTCGAAGGCTTTGATCATGATCTTTTGTTCGTACTAATGCGTCATTTAAGAGAATTTATAATAACGAAAGTCGCCGTGCTATCGGAGATGATCTCCACGAGATTATTCAGCGTTCAGATAGGGTTTGCAATCTATCTCTACTATCACTCATCTATCGAGCAATCCCTCCTGAGAAACCATCCGGAACCGCCTTCTGTGATGAATGCATAGCTACAGCACGGGAAGCCCTCAAAGAGCATGAAAAATGTGTTGCTCTCATTCTCAGCCGCCCTTGGGATGAAGACTTTCTGGAAATGTACATCAACTGGTTAGTCGTCCACCAATAGCAAATCAACTAAGCTACTAACATATTTGACTAGGACCCTACTTCAATTTCCTTTCTTTCCTTTCATAGTTCTTTTCTGCTACATTATCGAGACATCTGAGCCCGACGACCTGAAATGTCTCGGCGCGTTTGTCGAGGTACTACAGTCAATCCGTTCGACAGTAACTTACAAAGGTTCCAGAAACCAGGTCCGCCTCTTCCGAGCCTTATATGACGTAGCGAGAAAATATGTCGAGGTGAAGGCCAGCACTCCCAGAGTACGAATGAATGTACCAAGTAGCAACAGCATGGGTGTTCATATTGCAAATCCGAATGCCATAGGGCCTAGCATGCTTCTCCAGTCATCATCGATGAACTCGGGCCAGGCTTCTTCTACCAATGGAGCTCTACACAGTGTGTCAGAGGCTGGTTTGTCTAACCCGTGGGTCAATAGTGGCCAACAGCTATTGACGCAAATGCCTGGGTATGGCTCCGGTGTGTACGCTCCCGCGCTCGTGCAGACTGATTTGAATAGTACTATGGCAATGGACTTAACGGGCATGGAGCTGGGAGACTGGTTCCATGAGAATCATCAGATGTTCCGGTTGTTGGATGATGGACATCTTTGGTAGCTGTCTGATGACTTCATTTGGTACGTTCAGGTGGGTTCACCTACATGTATAACGGAATTTGGTGATCGTTGGCGTTGATGCGTTTAGACTTTGCATTATTTAGACATTTGTATACAAGCGCAACCATGAATATGATGGTCCAGGCCAAATATGGCTTGGAATCGATTAACCGAGGTCCATAAGTAATAGAATTAATAAATTTTGTCTAAGCCGGCACCGGAAGAGACAATGTTTTGCGTAAGACATAGCTCAATCTGTACGATTGCATATCAATACAGACGGTGAATCAATGACTGATACAGATCTGCCCCGCAACCCCACTATCAAGTTAGCTCAAACCAGCAGCGCGTCGTATGGTCCCCTCTTCGGTCCATTAGCCGTCATAACAGTGCATTGGGGCGATAAGACGAATAATTTAAATAAGTAAGCGTCCCCCAATTCTCTGTGAAGCTTCCTTCGAAGTATTTCATAGCGCAACATAATATACCTCCTACCTTCCCCTTAGTTAATCCCCCGCTCGCTTAGTGAACTAGCACTGGCTATGACTAACACCACTTATGAACAGTTGGGGGACCTCAAACGCCGATCCATCTTAGGGGCGATTCCCGCCAAGTGGAGATTTCAGAATCCTATCCCTCCGGCGGATGAACTTCGTGATGTGACCGGTGCCTATATTCAACAGTTCTTGACTCCACGAGAAATAGAGATCACTGAGACGGATGCGGCGGGGATTACTGAACAAACAACGTCTGGCAGTTGGACCGCTGTCGAAGTGACCGAGGCGTTTTGTCACAGGGCTGCCCTTGCTCACCAGCTTGTACGTTTTCATGTCGGTTCTCACTATGTCTGAGACGGTACTCACTGATTACTGTAGGTGAACTGTCTGCATGAGGTGTTCTTCGATGCTGCAATCGAGGATGCAAAAAGACTCGATGCTTACTTTGCCGAGCATAAGAAACCAATCGGACCGCTGCACGGTCTGCCTATCAGTTTGAAGGATCAATTCCATGTCAAAGGTGTCGAGACGACGATGGGATATATAGGATGGATTGGAACGTTCCAAGGCAAAAAGGATGATCCGAGGCGGGGCACATTCGAGAGTGAACTCGTCAAGGAGCTTAGGAATCTCGGAGCGGTACTGTACTGCAAGACGAGTGTGCCTGCAACATTGATGACGGGTGAAACTGTCAACAACATCATCTCGTATACATGGAATCCTAAAAACCGACTTCTATCCAGCGGAGGTAGCTCGGGTGGTGAAGGAGCACTGATCGCTTTGAAAGGATCTCCCAGTGGCTTTGGAACTGATATCGGCGGGAGCATACGTATCCCAGCTGTGTTCAACGGACTTTTTGGACTCCGTCCATCGTCTGGGAGAATGCCCTATGAGGGCGCTGCAAACTCAATTGACGGCCAGAATTTGATGTTATCGGTTGTTGGGCCACTTGCAACTACCGCACGTTCTCTTACACTACTGTTCAAGGCTGTGCTCAGTCAACAGCCATGGTACCATGACCCACTCGTGCTCGAGCTGCCCTGGAGGACGGATATTGAAGAGAGGACTCGAGCACTGATAAGAAAATCAACTGAGGGTTCTTCTTCTCTTGCATTTGCTATTATGCGCCATGATGGCATGGTCCAACCTCATCCACCCATAGCGAGGGCTGTCGAGATTGTCGAGCAAGCTTTGAAGCGATTAGGCCATAAGGTAACGCAAAACCTGAAGGGTCAAGAGGTATACTAAGGTATATATACTAACATATACCCTAGTTGATCGAGTGGAACCCCCCTGCCCACAATGTTGGCACAGACCTATTTGTAAGTTTCTAATCTGTCTATTCTACCTAATGTTAGTGATATTGACAATAGTAGGGTAGGATCTGCGTGGCTGATGGTGGAGCGGACATAGCACACCATCTTGGGTTGTCTGGAGAACCAAAATCTCTCCAATGCATTGTGGGGGAGGGAATCCCACACCTGAGTGCTCTAGAACTCGCTGCACTCAATGTGGAAAAGCGGCAATATCAGAAGCTTTACATGGATTACTGGAATAGTACGGCGGAGATAACGGGTACCGGGCGCCCTGTCGACGGTGTAATCTGCCCATGTGCGCCACACGCTGCAGTACTCCCCCATAAGTATGCCCATGTTGGGTATACCGCGTTCGTTAACGTCTTGGACTACACAAGCGTCGTGATCCCGGTTACCCATGCAGACAAAATGGTTGATGTGCCTCAGCCGAGGGATGATTTCCTGAGTGAGGTGGACAAGACAGTTCATGATCAATGTGAGCTTTTCGCATAAATTGACATGCTCTCGAATTACTAACGCCTTGACAGATGATCCCGAAGCTTACAATGGTGCTCCTGCCGGGGTTCAATTAGTTGGGCGGCGACTGGAGGAGGAAAAAATACTGACCTTAGCAGACTACATAAGCCAAGAGATGCGCTTACAGTCTAAAACTAGCTAGAATCAAGCGACATATCTAGCTTTGGCAAAGCTATAGGTCTAGTGCTCGAAGAATGCGTGGGGGCAGATCGTGATAGTAGAATAGGTAGTGGTGATGCTGATGAGATTGTCAATGTTGATATCAGCGGTATCTTCGTTGCCATCCATCATCTTAGATTATCCGTGAATCAGATAAATCTATTGTAACTTGAGCGTTCTACTGCCTCTGTTGGTCGAGTATCCTGGGTAACTAGTGCAATCGAGGTGACTAGTCACAACTAGCTTCCGCATTCCTTTGTATGCTTAGCTGTGACACTCCGATGCAAGGAGGGAGAGATTGTATACCTCTTAAAAAATTTTTCCATTGAGATAAATACTCAATTCATGCTCTCTATCGTTTCAAGTGGTGGTCAGGAGCTTGTCTTGGAAAAATAAGAGGCTGAGATGTCCCCCACAACAAAAAGCTTGGCGGTCGGTTGATCGTCACGTTCCCTCGTTATTTCTCTCCTCTCCCTTTGGTCGGTCTCCTCATCTCCTCCCTGACCACTCTATCATTCGATGATCCTGTGGCTTGTCGAGTCCCTTGCATTCTAATAATCCGCCATAACCTCTTTACAGCCAGCGTTTACGCATGCTTGATTCTTGTCATGCCTTGAGCTGGGTAATATTGTTGGAAGGCAATTTACCCTTTGTTTCGTGAACGCGTCTCGCTCGTCCCTACCGCGATCCTACATTTACCTGCAGCCACAACCATTGCGTCCTTTGTGAAACATGGAAGAAAGCGCGTCTAATCGTCCGACAGGTACCCCGGAGGGCTCTGCTGGGGCCGATGATAACGCGCAGTCGGCTGCTGGAAAGAATGCAGCTCTCAAAGACCGCAAGTGTCAATATTGTCACCAGGCATTTACCTCGTCCTCCCTGGGCCGTCACCTCGACCAGTTTCTCTTCAAAAAGAAACCGGACGGTGTTCATGATGTCGAGGAAATACGGCGCATTCGAAGTGGCATCACTCGCCGACAGGCTCGCACCTCGTCTGGCAAACGGGACACTCCCGAACGGACCATAGGGAAAGGCCAGTTGGATCCGTATGCGAGTGACTCAGGTGTGAAGCCACGCGACGGTGTTAGAATGATGTTTAATACCCCCACTTGGCATGCGACGGGTGTCATCAACGATATTCCTAATCCTAGTCAGTCACACGATATTTCCAGCACATCACGGTTTTCCACTTCGCAAACTCGGGCCCCTAAGCCCCTCCCTGATTATGCGAGCAGAGGTGCTAGCGCTAATAGTCCTGATACGATGAGGGCTCTGGAGCTGGCTTTGCGGGAAGTACTGGACAATATCAAGGCTGCAACGTACGTTTTCCACTACACGGCATGGGATATTCAAGTTGCTCGGCACACTGACCAATTATGTGGATAACAGTTCAAGAATGCGTCCTCGATTGTCTCCATTCGATTTCGATATTCAATCGCAGACGTTTCCTTCGCTCTGTCTGCAATTGCTGCCCCCACCTCCCAGCTTATTCGCGACGAGCCCGTTCCCATCGCCTTCTTCCTTCCCGCTCCAGCCCCCTGGTGTGGAACATGTGGAGATCATTCGACAAGCACTTCGTGCGAAGATCGATCAGTGGCAGTCCGATCAACTTTCTACCGACTCTATGAGCAACTCCCAGCCGGGGAGGCCAAATATTGGCCTGGATGCGAACATGATCGCCCGAAGTGCGCAACAACATGAAGACATTAGTCTGCGGCATCTAGAGTTGGCGTTCAAACATTGGGCTTCTCTTCCTTCTGAAACGAGGCGAGATGCATGGCAGCTTGAGATTACTCGAGCTTTCGCCCGGGAAATGGAAAAACGCAAATCATTGGACGACCAGCTAGCTCGGGTGCAACAAGAAGCAAATCAACTTCGTGCCCAAGTAGAAAGATTAGGCTCGTGTCAATGGCCAAGGGAGTTCGCTCTCTTTCCTCCTGACACGTTACCGCTACCTCGGGATGTAGCCCGAGATTTGGACACCAAAGAAAGCAAGATCAGCCCCGATTCCTCCCGCTGGGACTATGATAGTGTCGTGGCAAAGTGGAAGCGCGTGGTAATGCACGACAAGAGCATGGGCCGCGTCGGGGTGGGACACTCTAGTCCGGTCTTGGAAGACCATGCTACTGTGGATGGCAAACGGGTTGGTGATGACTCGGGAAGCATGTCCAGGTCAAGAATTCTGCAACCCCCAGCGGCTATGAGCCCGCCGGCCCCGTCACCAATTCAGACAGGGGGGCCATCTGCATCTTCTAGCCAACAGACTTCTCCATATCTACCACATGATGTCACCCGAAGTCCCAACGCAGGGCCTCAAGCCAAGCGCCCACGTCTAATGAATGGTCATCATTCAGGGGTCGCTCCTGAAGGGTCAAATAGCCCGTCAGCAAGTCAGACCGCTGGAGCCTCGAAGCCCTGGAACCCTCAGCAATCCCTCACAGTTTCTAATCTCACTGGGCCGTCCGGTCCTACCCCTCCACCATCGTCCTCAGGCCCATAAGTTGGGTATTTTGGATCTTCATACCATCTTCACACCCTCCTGTGTATACTTTCTCACATGCGCCACTCACAGTCAGAAAATGAACGCTTTCATTGTTGCCAGCACATTCCAAAAGTTTGTTGCTGCCCATTCTTCCTAATCTAAAATACCAACGAAATATTTGCCTGAATACTGTGAAGGCAGTGTTACGGGCTCGAAATATAGTCCAGTAAATAAAATAGTACGATTGCAACCTGCTCAGATTCGATATTTGGATTATTCTACTGTACATCTTCCCAACTTGATCAAGTTAATGTGTAACTATAATGTGACTGTCCGTATATTTGAACTCATCCGATACATTTCCAGTGCAACTGTACTATTTTGCACACTCAATCCAGAGTAGTGATCTGAAGCGGTCGTTGATACCCATCCCTTAGCTTTGCAGCAGCATGGCAAACATAAACATCACTATATCTTAGAGATGAATCACTGGCAAGGCGTTTTATTACTTACTACAAGGGCAGCCAGACACTGTGAAGCCAGCTGCCCGAGACAACGAAATATATAGTGAATCCAATGGCAACTGCGGCTTCCATGTCCATATCCCCATGGGGAAAGTGTCCAACAAAGCGCAAACTCTAACTCGTTTTCCCTGCTTGTGCCACCATAAATCTCTAAAGTTTGCATAAAACAATCATGCGTGGTTTGTTTGGTCCAGATACAAAGCTCGAGAACCTGGTCATAGTACATCTTTATGGTGTCATTGATTTGTGAGTCGCTTTGGTGCACGAGAACTTGATACTTTTAGCAGACCAAAGTACCAACAAGGATGACTTTACTTCGCAGGGGCATTCGGAACTGAGGGCGTAAGATAGACTGGCTTGTACTTTTCAAAATCATGACCATCCCGCATATCTAAGAGCCCGCCAGATTCACCATTGGGTGTCCAAACTTGTGCCTTGAGCTTCCTCAGACACCCCAGATATTTCATTTATGGAGGCTTTTGGGAAGCTTTGCTATCGTGGCGTCTTCACTACCTTACATGTGCCGTCGTATTATAAATCGCGTACCATGCTTCGACCATTGAGAGTTATCTGCCATTATACCGAGTGAGGCTCGGGATTCTTTTCAGTATGAAATACAACTGGAATGATACAGTCATCGACAGTGCTTGATAGCGACGAGAATATAAACAAGTCGCCGCCACCCTTGTCTGGGGCATTACCTAGCATTCGAAGTTCCATCTGGAGCTCTGACCGTTGGAATCTAGGACATCTATGGAACATCTATCCAGGATGCCTTAGAAGTGCTTGTGAGTCTTATTTAAACACGGAATTGCCCTGTTAGTGTATCATGCTAACCACAATGAATAGAATTCAATAATTCTCCAACACATGGCAGACTATGTACAAGGAACTCAATGGCTGCCCAAGTGGAGTTGCATATCTAAAAATCGCTTGAGCAGGGATGTTAGAAACTATGCCAGTATACTCAACCATTTAAATGTGCATATCAGGCCATGGCCAGATTCGACATCACGCTTTTTCTCTCGATCGCATTATCGATCGCAATCGGAAATAAAAGAAAGCCACCGACTAAGGCCGAGCCGGCGGCCTTGGAACATTCGCCATCGAGGGACAATGACTTCATCGTGATCGACAACCATGGATTAGAACCTTGAACCTCTCGCAATCGAACTGCCCTTCGAAGCTCCAACCCTGGTTCGGAACCTCGGGCTTCAGAACGTCCGATTGTTCTTCTGTCATATCGGAAGGACATACCATTACATCCGCACCTGTCATGGAGTACTCTGTATACGAGGTCCACTATAGAAAAAAAAAAAAGAAAAAAGGGGACAAAGAGACAACCGGCGAGACAAGTTTCTATTCCACATCCGATATACACCATGCGTAATAGTTGTTCTCCATGCAATATCCTGACGTATTTAGTCTCGATTTCCTTGGTTTGTGGGATTTGGTACTATCTCAGTTCGTATAACATATAATTTTTTATGGTTCCGTACACGGTTATATATCATCAAGATAACCTTACAGTATTTGTCATTTCACTGTCCTTTATATTTAGCACATTTGTTACGAATGTCGAGTGCAGCCTCAATGATAGCACATTATTTTTGACACAAACAATACTATCAATAGCACTGTCACGATGGAGGGAGGACACCTATCTCGAGACATTGCCCCTGATGTGTCAGATGTGTCAGCCTCCAGCTCTAATATATCTTCAAATTCAAGCCTGGCACAGAATGCAGAATCTAATGAGACCGAAAAGTCAAGTCAGCCAGGATCGTTGAACAGACGCCTCACTGAAGATGAGATCATGCGTGTACTCTCTCGGCGACGTACCGGCGAATCTGAGGAAGACACGGAAGGGGGGACTGAAGCTATGGCCCAGATCATGAGACTTGTTTCGCGAATGTTTGGTGACGAGAGGAAGACTAACTCCGACGAAGAAAAGACGAGACATCTTGGGGTCGTATGGAAGCATCTAACTGTGAAGGGGGTTGGACTCGTAAGCAATCTCTCACTCTCTGCGCTGAAGAAAGGGCAAAGCTCTTATATGACCTAGGGTGCTGCCATTCAACCAACGAACTCCGAAGTTCTCCTCGCTTTGCCTCGAAAGATCAAGAGTCTTTTAACTCGAGGCAGGAATAGGCCTCCGTTGCGGACCCTTTTAGATGATTTTACAGTAAGTCACTAGTACTGTGGGTAGGCTCCAGAAATCTCACATCTCTCATGACAGGGTTGCGTACGGCCTGGGGAAATGCTACTAGTCCTTGGCCGGCCCGGCTCAGGGTGCTCAACTTTCTTGAAAGTAATTGGGAATCAGAGATCGGGATATAAAAGTGTCGAAGGTGACGTACGCTATGGAGGTACTGATGCTCAAACAATGGCGGACAAGTACCGCTCTGAGGGTATGCCATAACTCTTCCCTCGTTTGAACCTCTGGATGAACAGACCGCTCAGCTTCCCAGTGCTTTACAATCCCGAGGATGACCTTCACTACCCAACCTTGACAGTACGGGACACTTTGTTATTCGCTTTGAAAACTCGGACCCCGGATAAGGAATCACGCCTCCCTGGAGAATCTCGGAAAGAATATCAGGAGACATTCTTATCTGCCATTGCTAAGCTATTCTGGATTGAGCATGCCCTTGACACAAAGGTGGGTAATGAGTTAATACGTGGGATCTCTGGAGGCGAGAAGAAGCGTGTCTCTATTGCAGAGGCACTGGTGACTCGGGCATCCACCCAGTCTTGGGATAATTCAACGAAGGGACTCGATGCAAGTACAGCGCTGGAGTATGTGCAAAGCTTGAGGAGCCTGACTGATATGGCAAACGTCTCCACACTTGTCGCTCTCTACCAGGCCTCTGAAACCCTGTACAAACTTTTCGATAAGGTGATGTTCATAGAAGAAGGCAAATGTGTCTACTACGGCCGTGCTGACTCTGCCCGCCGCTATTTTGAGAGCCTGGGATTCGAGTGTGCCCCTAGGTGGACGACACCGGACTTTTTATTATCAGTCACCGACCCAAAAGGGCGTCGGGTCAAGCAGGGATGGGAAGACCGAATCCCTCGGACTGCAGAGGAGTTTCGGAAAATCTACCGCAAGAGTGATATCTATAAGGCCACTCTAGTTGACAATGAGAGTTTCGAGGAAGAACTAGAATCTCAGAAAGAGGAACGCGAAGCTGCCAGAAAAGAATCGGCGAAGAAAAACTACACTGTTTCATTCTATCACCAGGTTGCTATTCTAACGCATCGTCAATTTCTCATCATGTATGGCGACAAGGCGACTCTAATAGGTAAATGGGTGATTTTGACCGGACAAGCCCTCATAACTGGCTCTTTGTTCTATAATTTGCCCCAGACAAGGTCAGTATGGCACGGTTTGGCTTGAGGTATATATGCAGCTGATTTCTAGTTCAGTGCCGGCGTTTTCACCAGAGGGGGTGTTATGTTTTATGTTTTGCTCTTTAATGCTCTACTTGCGATGGCCGAACTAACGTCATTTTTCGATACCCGGCCAGTTATTCTAAAACACAAGAGCTTGTAGGTATAAAGATGACTTTTGATTCTAGAACACTGCTGACAGACTCAGCTCTTTCTATCGACCTTCTGCTTTCGCTCTGGCGCAGGTGATCGTTGATATTCCCATAATATTCGTCCAAGTTACACTGTTTGAGCTTATTGTATATTTGTACGTCCAAGAGTAACTCAAGGCCACTCGCATGGCTAGGTCACTAACCGTTTGTCTAGCATGGCCAATCTTTCAAGAACCGCTTCTCAGTTCTTTATCAATTTCCTGTTCATATTCACCCTGACGATGACCATGTACTCCTTCTTTCGCACTATTGGAGCATTATGCGGTTCCCTTGACATTGGTATGCTTGGAATTCTTCTCCTTTACATTGACGAAGAAGAATGCTAATTCCATGGTAAAAGCTACGCGTATTACCGGTGTTGCTATCCAAGCACTCATCGTTTATACAGGCAAGTCTAGAAAGATCGCGCTTCTAAGCAACTGTCTAACTACTTTGCTTTAGGCTATCTTATTCCACCTTGGAAAATGCATCCCTGGCTGAAATGGCTTATCTGGATTAATCCCGTGCAATATGCTTTTGAAGGGGTTATGTCAAACGAATTCTATAATCTGGACATTCAATGCGAGCCACCAAACATTGTACCGGATGGTCCGAATGCATCAGCTGGACACCAGACCTGTGCCATTCAAGGGAGTAATACCAACCAGCTAATTGTTCAAGGCTCCAACTATATCAAGAGCGCATTTACATACAGTAGGTCACATTTATGGCGCAATTTCGGTATCATAATCGCATGGTTAGCTCTATTCATTGCGTTGACCATGCTCGGGATGGAGCTTCAAAAGCCCAATAAAGGGGGTAGTTCTGCCACTATATTCAAAAGGGGGGAGGAGCCAGAAACAGTGAAACGAGCCCTCGAGAATAAAGAGCTCCCAGAGGACGTGGAAACTGGGGATAAGGAGAAGGGCGTTGACGGTAACATGAACGAATATACGTCAGAGGACTCTGGAGAGAAGGTCACAGGTATTGCTCGGAGCACGTCAATATTTACTTGGAGAAACTTGAACTACACGATACCGTACAAAGGTGGAAAGAAACAACTTTTACAAGATGTGCAGGGATATGTCAAACCCGGTCGCCTTACGGCTCTAGTGGGCGCTTCCGGGGCTGGGTCAGTTATATCTATATGATCAAGACAGTATGAAGAAACTTCGCTGACTATTCGACGTTTATAGGAAGACTACACTACTCAACACATTGGCACAACGAGTAAACTTCGGTGTCGTTAGCGGTGAATTCTTAGTTGATGGGAGGTTAGTACTATATACAATGCTTCTCTTCTATTCTAACTCGCTTTCTCTCTCAGGCCTCTCCCAAGGAGCTTCCAAAGAGCAACTGGGTTTGCTGAGCAGATGGACATCCATGAGCCTACAGCTACTGTGAGAGAATCCCTGCGGTTCTCAGCACTTCTTCGCCAGCCTAAAGAAGTACCCATTCAAGAGAAATACGACTACTGCGAGAAGATACTTGACCTCCTAGAAATGCGATCAATTGCCGGTGCTACAATTGGCTCTGGGGGCATTGGATTGAGTGAAGAACAGCGTAAGCGACTGACCATAGCCGTTGAGCTGGCCAGTAAACCGCAGTTATTGCTCTTTCTGGACGAGCCGACCTCTGGTCTTGATTCTCTGGCCGCCTTCAATATTGTGCGCTTCCTTCGACGGCTTGCAGATGCTGGTCAAGCAATTCTGTGTACAATCCACCAGCCTTCTGCTGTGCTGTTCGAGCACTTTGACGACCTAGTACTGCTACAAAGTGGGGGCAAAGTTGTCTATAATGGCGAGCTAGGGCACGATTCTAGCAAACTCATCAGTTACTTCGAGCGGAACGGTGGCAAGAAGTGCCCACCCCACGCAAATCCTGCAGAGGTATTGTACCCAATAATTTGCTATGAAATAACTTGCTTTCAAACTAACATACATTCAGTACATGCTCGAGGTTATCGGTGCTGGGAATCCTGAGTATAAAGGCCAAGATTGGTCGGAAGTCTGGGCCAGAAGCTCAGAGAACAAGCAATTGACAGAGGAAATTGAGAGTATCATTCAATCACGGCGCAATAAGAGTGCAGAAGACAATGATGACGACCGCCGCGAGTATGCTATGCCTATCGGCGTGCAGGTACTAGCAGTGACAAAACGTGCCTTTGTTGCTTACTGGAGATCTCCTGAATACATTCTCGTATGTGGACATCAACACTCTTCCCCCTTACAGATTCCTAACCAGTTCCATAGGGGAAGTTTCTTCTACACATATTTACTGGTTTATTCAACACTTTCACTTTCTGGCATTTAGGAAACAGCTATATTGACATGCAATCTCGATTGTTTTCTATATTTATGACGCTCACGATAGCGCCACCACTAATCCAGCAACTGCAGCCACGGTTCCTCCATTTCCGGAATCTATACGAATCCCGCGAGGCAAATTCCAAGGTATACTCATGGGTTGCATTTGTGACTAGTGCTATTCTCCCCGAACTCCCGTACTCAATCGTTGCCGGCACCATCTACTTCAACTGCTGGTAAGTATAGCACTCTGTTTCCTAGCCAAAGTATACGGGTGCTCATTTAGATAACAGGTACTGGGGCGTCTGGTTCCCCCGGGACTCATTCACTTCAGGCTATGTCTGGATGTTTCTCATGCTCTTCGAGATGTTCTATGTGGGATTCGGCCAGTTCATCGCCGCGCTGGCACCCAACGAACTCTTCGCCTCCCTCCTCGTCCCTTGTTTCTTTATATTTGTCGTATCCTTCTGCGGAGTCGTTGTCCCGTACATGGCTCTGATCCCCTTCTGGCGGTCTTGGATGTACTGGCTCACCCCTTTCCACTACCTCCTGGAAGGCCTCCTTGGTGTCGTAACGCATAATGTCTCGTTGCAATGCGTCTCGAGAGAAGAGTCACATTTCAGTCCGCCGCCAGGAGAGACTTGCCAAAGCTATGCCGGTTCCTTTGCGCAGCAAGCTGGAGGCTATGTACAGGATGCGGGGAATGGCCGTTGCTCCTACTGCCCGTATTCGGATGGAGATACTTTTGTAAGTCCTGTACCTTGCTCTCGAGCTCTTTGACATGCCACATATACTGAGTTATCTACAAGGCCACCAAAAACTTCAATGTATATTACTCTCATAAGTGGAGAGCCTATGTAAGTCGAGGATTTTCTCTACTTCCACTTATTCCTTCTCCATAGCTCCCAGTGAAGCTGACGCTTCTGCTTATCACAGGGCATCTTTTGGGCATTTGTCATGTTTAACTTTGCTGCCGTTTATGCTTTCTCGTGGCTCTATCTGCATGGTATAAGGGATATCAAAAAGTGGTTTAGTACAAGGAAAGCCAAAGGGGGGGACAGAGAGGTGTAGAATGACTCAAATCTCTTTTCTTTCTATTTAGTATACGCAAGTCTGAATATAATGAGGTGAATAAAGAGCACGGATATTCATAAGCGCAAACTACCGGTGCATTGTTCGACTGATGTAAGTGAAATTCCTGTTATAATCCTTATATCCTTCTGCCACTACAGTATATATGTGTCATGACAACCATCTGGCCTGTCTAGGTACAAAACCATCCACATCTTCATCCTCCAAAATATCCTTCCCCAATCTCCCAGAAACAATACTCTTCTTAATCTCAGATCCCTGACTATAAAACAGCTGAAAGCCCAACATCCGCCCTGTTACAGGAATCCTATTCTCTCACCTATCTCTTCTTACTAGACCTAGGCCTAGCCTCAGCCACGAATCTAAGTTCACCCGGTCAAGAGATAAGCTCGTCTTAGCTTCGCCCAAAAGGACTACTAGTCACCAGCACTACGTAGAAGTGCGAGCTTGTCGCTGGTGCCACTGTGGTAGCGCGGGACCATGAATACCACAGGGCCACCAAGGTTCAGTGTTACCACTAAACTTGGTGGATGTTAAGAGGACCTGCTCTGAAAGATGGAATAGTGCACTGAACTGGCTGGTGAGCCAGAGCGAGTGTGTCCACCCTCGATCAATGGGTTGCCTCTGTTGATGTTTTGTCTCTCGAGTACTTCTACCAACCTATCAATCCGACGGACGAGAGCTATGACCTCGTTCTTGGTAAATTGGTAAGAATGGTCGTTTTGAGAAGCTGGGTCTGCAGATGCAGAGGCCCACCCAGTGAATTGAATTCCTGTTCTCCAGAGGTACGCGAGTAGGGGCCATAAGGCCGATACCCACGTACCGACGGTGCCTAAAATAGCATTGATTGATATCCGCTCCGGTCATTATTGTGTCTGGTTTCAAGAAGAAAAAAGACAAAGATAGCCGAGGATAAAGAGAAGAGAGAACATCATGCAAAATGACTGTAGAAATAACACACTCGTTCCTTCCTTCCTTTTCTTGAGTACAGGTTGCACGCCTCTTGCCCTCACATTGGTTTCCAAAACGGAAGGCAGCTCTAGAGGGGCTCTCCGTCATACAGAACAGTAGATAGGGTCGAACAACCAATAGATATAAGAGATAAAACTGAAAAGAAGGCATCTGGGGCGCAGACTACGTCTAGATTTAACATGGTGGAGGAAAAGTATCTCTGAATCTTTGATTCTTTGACTGTGAGTGCTCATACTCTGAGGATGAGCACATGCTGCTGGTCTGTTGCATAAGAGTATAAAGCGTATATCCTGAGAATGTGAAATAAGGGGCCTGGGGCTTTTCTAGCAAAGGTCATCCTTATGCGTGCTTGCCCCCAAGATCCATGGTAGGAATGACAATGACGTAAAGTGCTGGATGACTTCCATACCCATCTCACATCTTATTCTGTTTTCCTTTCTCTTTTCCACGTTCTCTAGTCTTGCAGTTGCACGGATTCTAACACGATGGTTATCGGCAAAGATCTTCTTACTTGGTTGTCATCCTACTGGCGTCCTCAGCCTATAGAGATATTAAGCTACAGGGGCCCAAATCTTGACCATATACCAACAGAGCTGGTATACCTTATTGCTGACCTTCTTCTCCCATACGACAGAGCGTGTCTGGCCCTCTGTAATCACCGACTACTATATATTCTAGGAAACGGTTCTCGGCTTCGATTAGAGAAAGAATTCCGACCTGTTTTTCTAACAAGACTGAGCCGAGATCTACCGAATTATATTTATTGTCATATATGTTCAGTGTTACATTGCCGGGAAAATATTCAACCTCCCGGTCCAGCGTGGTGGCCTAGAAGATGGTTAGCCAAGCATACAGGTCTTTCTCCTGTTTGGTGGTATCCATTTTGTATACAATAGAGTTCATTGTATCGATTTCAATATATCCACCTGCAACTAGCAATGAAACGACATCATTGCAGCCCTGCACACGGTATATCAACAGACTCGTTGGCTTATGTTGAGATCCAGCTATTACGGAAATCCCTTACTCTATTACTATCAGTCGACGCGCAGATTATTCGAGCGTCGAGTCTTTGTCTTCGTATCCAAACTTGGATATTAGCAAAAGAATTTCCTTCCGCAGCTCTAAAGCGTATATTCATCTGCTTGCATATTTCTATGCAGGAGGACTATATTGCCCAGATTTGTCCGTGCTGTTTGGGATACCAATATCAACTCTGGAACCGGACGGCGATCTAGGTTGGAAACATATTACTGTGTTTCCTGCGGATCGGAGTATCAAATTGATACTACTAACTGTGGTACTGAAGGTGTCGCCCTTATTATAACCAAATGGGTTGCATTAGGTCCGGGTCTTGATCCTGCAGATATTCGATGGACAAGACATATGCAACTCACATTCCAAAAGCATGAGATAACTATATCAAAAACCGATATCCACTCGCAATTCGAGCAAGACGCAATGTTCCCACTTAATGATTTAACTCAACGGAATAGATCGCTCTTGGAGGGTAGAGCGTACAAGAGAAAGGCAGATTATTGGTATAGCGGCTGTTGGATTTTGCAGGCCAACACAAGACTGCCATGGTTTTATCCTCGGCCGGAGAAAAGAGCCTGTTGTTGTTGTTGTTCTTGCAAGGTATGATTCGCTACGTTGGTATGGGCAGCATTCGCCTTTCAGCTTTTGTAACACCGGCGCATCAAGGCTGGAGAGCTTGGGGATTTCTATGGTAGGCTGTGTGGTTGGAGGCGAGGTTTGAGGAGGTCTTGGGGGTTTGGCCCTATACTAGACAGTATCCTGTATGCGAGACAGCGAAATGATTTTATACTCGGGCTTGGTCATGCCTTATACTGGGCTACTTCAAAAAGTTGAAACCAGTAGCCAATATTACAGGTCCACATAAAACACGAGATCCGCGCTGACTGGAAGGTGTTGTCATAAGGCTGCATTTATGTAGCTTCGCCTCGACCCTTCATTGTGAGCTGGCAACCTAACAAACGCCCACCATCTACCGCACGGCGGATTCCCTACCCTTCCACAGTTCCACAATGGCTGGATGAATGAGAAAGGCCCATACTACTATTCAAATATGAGACTGTTGAATGCCCGCACACTGCAATTGACCGAATCCGTACATTATATCCCTCCATATGCGATTCTATCGCACACATGGTCGTCGGAAGAAGTATCCTTCCAAGAGATCCACTCGTTAGAAGCACGCTACAAGCGAGGATGCCAGAAAATCCAGAAATATTGTGAACAAGCGCTTGCGGACAATCTAGAGTACGCATGGGTCGATACCTGCTGCATCAAGTAAAACTCCCATATTAGAATGTCTAGTACGCTAGAAAGACAGTAAGTACCACGGGCGATCCTCCACAGCAAACCACACCGTCATGATCCACGAAGACAGGACCTTGAAGAGCAGTAAGCACGCTAACAAAACATGAAATACAAACCACCAATCACGATTGGTGGAGGCCTGAGCAGAGTAACAATGGTTTGCTAATTGTATTGTACACACACATTTCCACAAATCCGGAAAGTGTGGCTGTCCAAAGATCTCGTTCTCCACGACTAAAGCTAGGGTAGGTAATTTCACGGCCTAACAAGATGCGTTACCTGTTCAACTGAATTGAGCTATCTTTGCAATCGACTAATACAGAGGGAAGAGATGCCTTGGAAATATCACGAATCATTGCGACAAACATAGGTAGAAACCCCTCTCTACCTAGGACTGATATCATAATCCGACCGAATAATAACCCCGCATGGTTTCAGCTCACCACTTTCCATTTTCCTAATATTCTCCTGAATTATTTCCTTATTCTCCCTCATAATCCTTTTCGGCCTGTGCTTTTTCCTCGGCCGTCATCGGCGGCGGTAACAACGATGGATCTGGCTTCCACCATTGTCCCTGGGATACTTTCGTTCCATCCGCTCCGCGAAACATATCTTCTATCCCCTGGTCAAATGTGGTTCGATCGAGAAAAGCTTTGATTAATCGGGGTGGAAGACCAATAGCGTCTATCACGTCGCAGTCTGGTGTCAGAGTTCGGAGAACACCGTCGGTACCAATAACAAAGGGAGCGTTGCCGTCAGAGCCGGAGTCTAGGTTACTGATAATATTGGATAATTCTTTTTGGTCAGGGTGGCTATTGGGGTCGGGCCCATAGCGACTGGTGACGGGCGGGGCTGGGCAAGTCATGTCTTCTTTTAGTTTAGAAGACTGGGTCTTGATATCTTAAGAATTATTGTAGGGTAACATGGAGATGGTCAGGTTTGAATCATAACATGCGCTACGTTAACTTGTTATATGGAAAAGCAATGACAAGGCTGTCGTGTGATTGTCAAGTACCCTGAAACGACCCAAGGGAGACGTGGAAACTCCCTGCACATGATAAGTCTCAATTTATGAGTTCTTTCTTTCAATCAAGAAGTCTCAGCTGTCTCACGTGCTATATTAAACAGGCCTCGGAAAGCAGTACAAGCATCCATACTGCTTCCGATGAGCACACTTCACGTCACCCCGTGCTCAGTTTATGTCCTCGTCCTTGGAAGTCTGCCTACAGTTTGTTTTGTTTCTGTTTGAAACGGCACTGGAATTTCTGTATGAGGGATTGCAGTGCGTCGTCATGTTTAAGAAAGCATCAGGGTCTATACAATGTGCCATCATCCTGGAATCTAATCTGGAGTATGTCATAGAAGGGCCTATACAAAATGCCCTATACAAACGTTTCAAGGACAAAAGCGACGATGGAGTCTGGGCAGCTGCGCGGATGAAAGATAACATCAGCATTGTCGTCTCAGGGTTTGAAGCGTCACAAACAATCCACCTTGTTTTTGGCATAGAGATAGTGCATCTAGAGTGATTTGAAACCTTTCCATGTGCAGCGGTCTAACGACACAGCTCAGCGCTGCGAGTCGAGTATCCAGCACCGTAGTACGTACACTAAAATCCTGTCCCTAAATTGGTGGGTCCTTGAGATCCCGAACGAACTCCAGATCGTATCCCATTTCCATCCTTCGTGGATAATGGCTGATCTCTCGCTTTCTATATATAACGGACGGATATCTCCAGACAAGGTCTATCTCCCCGTTTCTTAACATGCTCTACCATGTTTATTTATTTTATTTTCTTTTATATTATATTATTTAATTTTTTTCTCCACTGACCTGTCAAAATAATTAAGTCCCCGATACGGATACTCCTGTGCGAGCTACTAACTCTAGATGCAATGACCATAAAAAGAGTAAACAGGCGGGCTACCTCAGGAAGCCTAACCAAGTCCTCATCCCGCGTTAGGGCAAAAATCCGGAGGCTGGGACCAAGCAAGTGCCTGGTACCTGGACCCCCTAAGGATTAGCCCGACAGCTTATGTATCAGATACCCAATCAACACGTGCCTGTCGACCCACATCCTCTAAGTTCCGCCAACTAATGAGAGATCCATCCAAGATACGAAGCTACTAATCTCCAATCCGTCCAGCCACCACCAAAAGACTGAAATCAACATGGCTGGGCCACGTCGTGCTACCTCATTTTTTCTCTTATACTGCAGGGTCCCATACATTCCATTCCTTTCTTGCTCCGATATCCCTTGGAATGTGTCTGGGGATTTCGAGATAATCAACATTTATCGATAACCCTATTGAATAGCTTGATTGTTTACCATCGGTCTATTTATCCGATCTTCATCTGTCCTTCTTTACCCCTTCGATCTTAAATTCCGGCGAGCCTCATTCTACTCCTAATCTGCGAGGCAAAGAATTGCATATATATATATCTCTCGCCCACCAAAATGAAAAAGAACATCGCCATCGCCCTCATCATCATCATCCTTTTCCTCATCCTCGCCGTCGCCGGCTTCGGAATCTACGCCATGCAAAACCACATCTCATTCTTCTCGAAGAAGCGAGCTGTCGACGAAGAAAGCGCAGAAGAAGGGGGATAATTCTGCGACAAAATCTCCCGAATAGTGAATTTACTCAACCTTATCTTACGGGCGCACGATGGCGCGCAACTATCTATCCATTCCTAAATACCTCGGGACGACCCGACTCGGGCACTGGCTGGCACCCGAACACAACAAAACATTCCAACCGGAATCTTACCCTTAATTATCTCGGATCCTGCCGAGTCGACTTTCTACTTTACGCTACACATACGACCTGTGAATCTCGGGGCTTGGTTATGGGATCTACGACTGCCATGCGAGGAACTTTTCATGCTGATTATGTTTATGGTTATCTTGATGTTGACGTCTTTATGGTTTGATATGAGTTTATGTGGATTTTGGGTATTGTTTTTTTTTTGCTTTCAAATTGTTGTTATGGACTTTGTTGGAAAAGTATATGGTGTTCATTCATATTGTTCTTGCTATGTGGTTATATATTGGTTTTGGGATACGTTGAGATGATGTTATGATGTGTATATGTTTTTCATGTGGATTGATGGGATTGTATCATATTTTGATTAGATTTTGAGGCAGATCTATTTCCTTTGATGAGATAATGATATAAATTTGATGCTAGGTGTCGATTTTCAGGAGTTGTCGTAGATATAAAGAACTCAAATGTGTATCATTATATTTTATTTTAGCAACGCTCAGCATACATATACAGTCTAACTATCCGATGATTTTCAGCCCGCCCTTGGTCTTTCCAGGCTTTCTGATTCCATCTTGCTTGACCTTGCCTCCGCCGTGGCCGCCTGCCGAGCCACCCCCACCGCCGTGCTTCTTCCCGTTCTTTGAGTTAGCCACCGGACGGACCTCAGTAGTGGCGCGACGGAGCAGGACAGGGTGGGATCCAATATACTTCCCTTGCATTTCCCTCGCGGCTTTGAAATAGTCATCTCCATCGCTGAAACTGACGAAACCATATCCTTTGCTCTTCTGAGTGCGCTTGTCGCGGATGACACGCGCTTTCTGGACGGAAGTGTATTTCACAAACGCCTTCAACAGTGAGTCGTCCGTGACTTCGCCGGCAAGGTTTCCTACGAAAAGACGGAAATGTGCGGGGTCCCATTCTAGAAGAGTCGAGTCGGTCCAGGTCTGGCCACCACCAGCCCGGGCAACGGTCTTCTGCGGCTCGGCTTGGCCTACAACGGGCGCCGGGGTGGTGGCTGCCGTAGCGGTGCCGGAGGGTGTATTGACACCGGAGCCGGTGCCGGATACCGCGTATCCATCTCGGCGGCCAGGAACCTTGCTCGTCGCCTGTGCTTCGTCTCTGTTCGCATAGGCACTTTGCCATTGTGCGATCTGTGCTTCTGTCTCCGGATCTAAACCAGACTCATTGCGCCCATAGTTCCTCCCGTGCATACCATAATTGTTTGCTTGGTCAGCTCCCGCAGCGGGAAAGGGATTCTGAATCCGAGGCACGGACGGACCATATGTGTTTTCATTATACTGGGCAGAGCCATAGTATGAGGCTCCGCTTTGGTAGGTTTGTTGTGGTTGGGAATAGTAGCTACCGTAGCCTGCCGTAGTGGGAGTCGAGTATCCGGCTGAGGTGGCTGGCGGAGCGGATACGACGGGGCTGCTGGTACGGTAGGGTTGACTAGAAGCTACGGAGCGCGGCGCGAATGCTGTGAAAGCATTGTAGCCTGTCCGAGGCCCGCTGCCGCCATATCCATTGCTGGTCCCTGCGGACGAATACGATGGCGCAGCCGAGTATGCGGGCTGAAACGATGCAGGGGAAGGAGATGCTGTGTTTGGTGGCCGCGGTGGCAGCGAAGACGGTGTTTGCTTCAGACCTGGAGGTGGCGGAAAGGACATGATGAATGGAGAGTTCGAATAGAGACGATGGATGTGATGCGCCGTATGCAAATTAGCCAGACACGTACCTTCAGGGCTTGACTGACGTAGCAGTCTCACGCCAGACGTCACGCCTGAAAAGGGTTCTGAGTTCTAATGTAGACGGAAGATCGGTGTCCCGAAGGAGGTTGTATGGTGTCTGAGTTATATTGAGCGGTATTGCAATCTCACGGGATGGTTGACTTGTTCTCAGTACTGGATATCCCTTCGAGGTATGAAGTTGCGCCGAAGGGTCAGTGAATAAGTGACTTAAGAATAGAAAGCAAAATGTGTGGTTATTGATATTAAGGATCGGGATTGTTCAAATGTGAAATTCGAAAAATGACGTTGACCATCCAGATGTTAATCAAGATGCGAACGACGAAGGCGGCTAAGGTTGCTTCAGGCGTTGGAAAAAAAGACCCAAGTGGTCCGCCCGGCTTGCCGTAGAGATAGAGTTATCTACGGAGAAATGATGTTCCTCAGCCACAGATGGTGCAGCCACAGGGGCTTGATCAGCATTTTCTTCATGTCAGCGTCATTGTCTCATCAGCCCCAACGGATTTGCACCCCCACCCTATTCCTCTTTCGGCCAGGCAATAGCCGACCATTAATGTGATCAGGTGGTCCTAAGAGTGGGATAGGTAATCATCCCGTAAGCTCTTTAAATTATCCCACGGCTAATGGGAGTGATTATCTACGGGGGTACACATTGATTGCCGACAGATAAGCCCGAAGAGACAAAATTCCGGAGGGGACAAGGTGAAGTCGTTGGTGTTGAAGGGTCGGACATGATTTGATCCGTGCCCGAATCTGCTTCACCGAAGGTACCTGATTTTCTTTTCTTTTTTTTTGGGGGGGGGGGGGGGGGGGGGGGGGGGGAGTGACTCTGGACTTTCGCTGCGGCGGTTTTTGTTGCTTTTCCTTCACTGCAGCAACGCTTCTGCCCCTCCATGTGCCCCGCCATCGGTACAGCTGCAATGCTCCGTCATCTCCGAAGCAAGCTACTGTACTTTAAAAAAAATAAAAGTCATGTATGTGCCACTAGCTGTAGATTATTTTTGCTTTGAAGGTAATATCTGGAGGTAAAACAATTGACACAGAATGGGCATTGTAGACAAGTTAAAATGATCGTTCTAAAGCTAATATATTTACTTAAATCAATTATCGCATTCCGTGGGATTCCCATGTATACTAAGTACCAACTATTTCACCGGACCGGACGACTCTGCTCCTCATGGTCTTTTACTGCCCCGCCTTTCGCCCTCTTCTGTCCCACCGAATGACGGAAGAGTTGCTCCGTAAGCCTTTTCGGGTCTGACATCTTCGAACTGCTTCTCCCTTTTCTTCCGTCTCTTCTCTCTCCTTTCTTCCTTTCCTCTTTCTCTTACCTATATCTTCATCCTTCCATCTACCTTCTTTGGGGCAGTCATATTGATACTGCTATACATACTACTTCCTTAATACCCCCTCAGGAAAAGTCCTCCCCACTCTCATAATGGCTGATAAGGCAGTGTGAGTAGTACCCTTGAGGTCAGAATGGCCGCCCCTCCGTGCTACATTTCCGATATCGTCCTCGTTAATGGTGGGCGTCGCCCTCTTGACAATGATTCTCACGCTTTTGGCGTGGAAACTTGAGAGTTATGGACCATAGTCCTAAACGATTGGTAGCTCTGCGACAATCGATTGGATCAAGTTCTCTGATTCTCTCCCAATGTCATAGCTTGATATGGGAATGCAACTAGCCTCATACACCTCCCTTCTGTGTTACCTGTTCTATGATTGTCCCCATATCTGCTCTGTTTTCGCCCATTTATTGACAGAAGAATTTACCCACTGACTTCAGCGCCCGCTTGGCCGGCATCAATGTCGGCGCACCGGCGCGCCCTCTTCCTAGTGCTGACTTCGGTCTGATCGGTTTGGCCGTCATGGGCCAGAACCTGATCATGAACGTCGCCGATCACGGTTTCACTGTCTGCGCTTACAACCGCACAACCTCCAAGGTTGACCGCTTCCTTGAAAACGAGGCCAAGGGTGAGATCCCAAACCGACTGATCAGTTGTGGAAGGATTAGCCAAGCTGACCACTCATCAGGAAAGTCGATTGTCGGTGCTCACTCCATTGAGGAGTTCTGCGCTAAGCTGAAGCGTCCCCGTCGTATCATGCTCCTGGTTATGGCTGGAAAGCCTGTCGACCAGTTCATTGAGTCTCTCCTGCCCCACCTTGAGGAGGGCGATATCATCATTGATGGTGGTAACTCCCACTTCCCCGACAGCAACCGCCGTACCACGTACCTTGCCGAGAAGGGTATCCGCTTCGTCGGCAGCGGTGTCTCTGGTGGTGAGGAAGGTGCTCGTTACGGCCCCTCTCTCATGCCCGGTGGTAACGAGGAGGCCTGGCCTTACATTAAGGATATCTTCCAGAGCATTGCCGCCAAGAGCGACGGCGAGGCTTGCTGCGACTGGGTCGGTGACGAGGGTGCCGGCCACTACGTCAAGATGGTCCACAATGGTATCGAGTATGGTGACATGCAGCTGATCTGTGAGGTACGTCATTCTTTAGCATGAACTACTCTGATAACACACAGTATCTAACGTACACTGTGTTTAGGCCTATGATATTCTCAAGCGTGGTGTTGGCATGCCCGTCAACGAAATCGCCGAAGTCTTCGACAAGTGGAACAAGGGTGTCTTGGACTCCTTCCTGATCGAAATCACCCGCGATGTTCTTCGCTTCAACGACGACGATGGCACTCCCCTCGTTGAGAAGATCCTTGACAAGGCCGGCCAGAAGGGAACCGGCAAGTGGACCGCCATCAACGCTCTTGACCTTGGTATGCCTGTCACCCTGATCGGCGAGGCCGTCTTCTCTCGTTGCCTCAGTGCCCTCAAGGACGAGCGTGTCCGCGCTAGCAGCCTCCTCCCAGGCCCCACTCCTGAATTCACCGGTGACAAGCAGGCTTTCATCGATGATCTGGAGCAGGCCCTTTACGCTTCTAAGATCATCTCCTATGCCCAGGGTTTCATGCTCATGCAGGAGGTAAGTCCACTTTAGCCTGGCCCACGTCACATTAGTTTTCGCAGTTACTTATTAGAAATCCAGGCTGCCAAGGAGTACGGCTGGAAGCTTAACAAGCCTTCCATCGCCCTTATGTGGCGTGGTGGCTGCATCATCCGCTCTGTCTTCCTGAAGGACATTACCAACGCATACCGCCAGAACCCCGACCTTGAGAACCTCCTCTTCGATGACTTCTTCAAGGCTGCCATCACTAAGGCCCAGAGCGGCTGGAGAAACGTTGTCAGCAAGGGTGCTCTCTGGGGTATCCCTACTCCCGCTTTCAGCACTGCTCTCAGCTTCTACGACGGATACCGTACTCGGGACCTCCCCGCCAACCTGCTGCAGGCTCAGCGTGACTACTTCGGTGCCCACACCTTCCGCGTCAAGCCCGAGCAAGCCAACGAGAAGTACCCTGAGGGCAAGGACATCCACGTTAACTGGACTGGACGTGGTGGTAACGTGTCCGCCTCTACCTACATTGCTTAAATTAAACGAGGATACGACACTGCGCTGGACGTGAAACTTTACCCTGGACCGAGGTGGTAATAGGATAAGGCAAAATTGTGAGGGCTAGTCGGGCACTCGCAGCACATAGAATGATTATGATAAATTAAAAAGAAATCGGTTCATCACCCTGTATTTAAATCGTTTAGTCTGCTATTTTAGTGATGGAAACGTATTGAATGAATATGTTTTGATGTTGTTCATGATGGATAGCGTGATATCAGACCATGTTAGATGAAGAAAAATAAAAGTATATTGGCTTGTAGAAATCAAGACATGGCTTGTAGCTGGTCAGTTATGTTCCGAGAGTCTCAGGAGTCAGGACTGATGAGGGTATCCGTCGTCACGGTATTATTGTCTCCGCCCGAACTAAGCCGAATGGGGATTGATTGGTCGTGCACCTGAACGTCGACCTCACCCAACTGATCGTTAGTGGGTTAGCTGGCATCCTTTGACGGAGCACTACCACACCTCTCTTTGACTACGCGCCAGTAGTCTGAGAAAGCATCCTCGTCTGCTTGGCCATATCCTTGTCGACGAGCTTCTTTTCTCTTTCCGTGTTGTTTCCGTCGCTCTTTTTATCAGGTCCCCAGCTTCCGGCTACGTCCCACCTTGTTTAATTGGGGCACCAGCTCCTGTTGTTACTGCAAATCGACAGTAACTTATAACCCCGCGGCCGGGAAATTGGCGCTTCTACCACTGCAGAAATCGCCTGGTGTAGCGTATTGTCCCTGCTGGGTTGATTGTGCAAGGCGCTTTTGCTGTCTCCTGAGAAGCAGTTCAGCTGCACTGTTCCATAATCGAAATCCGGCTCTCCGTTTCATCCCAAGTGACAAAGCTTGAAAATTGCTTAGTCTACGAGGGTGGCTTATGGCAGAGAAAAAGCGTCACGGTTCTGGAGTTAGAGCGTCGTCGCAAGGAGCTTCTGGTGCCACGAGTCAGGGAATGGCCGGAGCTATGGTTCCTTTGGAGGTCGCCTTGAGCGGTGCAATTGGTGCACGGTAAGCAGCTACTTCTTTTAAACTTCTGTCTGCTGTGATGGCCTTTTAAAGGACATGATACCCTCTGAACAGAAACCCCTCGTACAAGACAGAAATCTATAGTTTGTTGGTGCTAACTCTATTATTATCGCAACAGCGTTCGCATCACTACCGCCCCGGTCTCTACGACAATTGAGGGAACTCTGTTTACGGCATGCCCGATCACGAACCTTGTTGCTATCAACACTGCCGCCGACACCAAGCAGACCGCAGGCGATTATCATATCATCCCAATCTCGCGTATACAGTCCTTCCAACTTCTCTCCCTCGCTCCATCATCCAACAGCGTGGAAGTGCCTTCTTTCGCTGATGCAGTGCCTCCTGTGCATGCGCTCGACATTCGGGCTCTGAAGACCCGAGAGGCTAATGCAGTCGGTAAACTGCAAGAGGGTGAGGCCAAGCGTGGCAAGGGAGTTACCCGCGAAGCCCAGGATCTGTTTGATGCATTTAGCCGCACTATGCCCACCAGATGGGATGGGACAAGCATAATTGTGGCCGACGCAGTGTCAATCGCTGCGCCGTACCGTGTAGACGACTGTCAGCCATTAGTGGCGGGTGACACAGCTGCCCTAGCCAGAGTGCGTAAAGTGGTATGTGACACTCTTTTCCTCCTTTCACTGAATGTCTTACGAATAAAGCGCTAATTACAAATAGCTTGAAATGGAACGTAAGAAAATCGAGCTGCGTAACGCCAGTGCGACAATTGGTACAGCCAATGCTTTCTCGCGGTCGGTTTCCGCAAAGGCATCTACCAACCCGAACCCGTCTCCAGGGCCCGGAGCTGCTGGACCAAGGAAGGGTGGTTGAATATAACGCTTCCGATTAACTGCCAAAATGAAAGGACTCCTTTCCATATAAGTCGCGAGGGATGAAACTACCCACGAGCGCCACACCGGGAAAGGGGACTATCGCGGCAGAGGGAATGCATACACACCCCTCCATGTGAAGCATACTAAAAGGCTGTGCAGCTACTATTTGAAGAAACCGCGAGGGAGGTACACGTGATATAAACGAAGCAGGGAATATTTTACTATCTAACTGAGAGAATATGCGGGGGGTTGCCGGTGCTGGGATACAAGGCTGCCTCGTGTATGTGTCCTGTATATCTGTAGCCGGGGACTGTCTTGCATCGGATGCGATGAGATGATGTTGGATTGGAGCCTTAACATATGGTTTGGCTTATCCATTAGATTTACTCTTAGAAACAGCTCTTCATGAATGAGATGACCGACTTTGTCTTTATTTATTTATTTATTATTTTCCTCAACCAAGGACTACGAAAGGCATCGGTCAATCCAACTACATCTAACCACAGGAAAACATAGAGAACAAAAAAAGCATTAAAAAGCATAAAAAGCATATCCCCCAGTAAACAATCACCCAAACCTCTCCAAAGAATGCCAACATAGAAGGACTACAATATCCCGACTCCATTAAACTGATACATAGTCGCCCCACGATCACCATGATCTTCGCACCCCTGCAGCTGTTCCTTCCCACTCACCCTACGAAGACACTAAACCCGCGCTAATGCATGCATGGAGCCTGAGTGCCGACGGCGTGTTACCCGTTTGTCTGTCCATGGAAAACCATGCTCAGCATTAAGTGGATGGGTTTCTGGCCGGATGGACCTACTACTAGTACCGTGGGTAGGACAGGAATTGGGGGGGGGGGGGGGACCCTAATCCGGGTGGGGTGCTATTTTGGGTTTTTTTTTTTCGAGGAGGGAAGGTTATGGGGGGATTCCATTAGTTCGCGTGGTTTTTTACTCCTCGGTTAGCCAGCTCTGGGTTGATGGTTGTTGTGCAGGTGGTTTGTAGTGATTGTTAAATGTTGGCTTTTTGTTTGTGTAAGTATTAGGGTATGGACCCAGGAATGAGGTATAGTCATTGGTTAAGGTATCAACGTGTCGTTTGCTTCTGGGCTCGGTATGATAGTACCTGGGGCTTGGGATATTGGTTCGTCCTTTGTGCAGGGATTTCCTTGATAGTTTTCAAGGACTGGGCTTTATGGAGAGTTTAGTAGGTGTCAGGGGGTTTACTTGGATTTTGCTTGGCCTTGAGGTTCACGGGGAACACACTGTTATGGTTCGTGGGGGCTTGGTCTTAAGAAGCAACTCTACGGTCGACTACTACCGGATCGAAGGTGGAAGAAAGTAGCCGCCGAACAAGATGTTCGCAGTTCCAGTGTTGACTGCTACTCATGTTCTTCCGAAGAGCAGGTGGTAGTTCAGTGTTGGTTTTGTAGATTTGACATGTGCGTTTACTTTATTAATTCCCCGGCGTTGACCGTGGGACACATATTGTACTTACTTAACCTTCTGAGAGTGTACTGGAGACTTTCAAGGGGTATGTCTTATAAAAGCCCCGGGATGCACCGATGTGGCTCTTCCGCCTAGATATTTTGGTCTGCCCGGCTCATTGATAATTGCTAGTTTCTCCCTCATCATGAGTTGCTTGCAGATAATATTCAGTTACTTTGCCGCCGAGCCTAGCTATAGTTGCCAGGATTGGAGCCGAGAAGAAAGCGGATGGAAAGGCTATTGCCCATACCCTGCTTGATCTTGACAGGATGCTGCAGAAGCCACTGACCACAGGTTTATTAACCTCACGATCCATTTTGAATACAATTTATTTTGTTTTAATATTTTTCCCCCCGGCATATCGGCTGCCGAGAGGTTCTCCTGGAGACGGCCTGAAGCTCAACAAAACCATTGTCGTCATTTGACAGGTCGAATGAGGTAAGCACCGCTGCTTGCTTAAGCTTGCCATCTGGACGTGCGCCGAGTTTCTTTGTCTATCAGGCAAGCGAACCGGGGAACGGCATCAAAGTCAAAGACTGGTTAGCACATGTCATCCAAGGTACGTACATTCCTTGCTCACTGGGGACACAGCTATGCATATTCTACCACGGATGGTTTCGACCAGGAAATGAAACCACACAGAGATTGAAGATGAAGGTCAATTGATGACCAGCGTTGCGATAGAATACATCATACTTCCTGTCGGCGAATGCAAGGGCGACAATGGCAAACTATGAATGACACCAGCGGGTGGGATGCATGTACAATGACATGATGATGGTTAGTTATCCTTGCTGGCGGCGGTACTTGTCGAGATGGTGATGGAATCACAACATCATCAGCCATCTACTCTTGGGTCAGATATGTCCAAAGCATGGGAGATCGTACCGATCATATGTCATTGTCTGGAACCCAGTGGGTTTGTCCCAGCGACGAATCACAGCCACTGCCAATCGGGACGGGATCAAATCGACTAAGAAACCTGAGCCGGTTCCTTCGCCGCCAAGAAGTCGGTGTGCAACAAGATGGAGTTCAGGCCAAAAACTGATGCCTAATCGTGTGTTGGAGGATTGGGAAGGTCACTTGCAACAACACCAAATATGGTGTATCTCATTCACCCGCTCCAATAGTTCGACCTGCTGTTGAACTTTGAATCGCCGACCCAACCAATGGTGGGATCAACAAGTCTGAGGACCATCGCTCCCAAGGCACCGGCTGACAATAAATGGACGACCCCGGATCGTCCGGAAAGGGACCAAAAAAAAAAACCAAATTAAATTAGCGACCCAAATATCTGCAACCCCCGCTCCCACAGGCGAGATTTCCCGGGAGATGAGAGGTCCAAGAGGCACGATGCCAAAGAAGACCCTGAAGGATGTGTGATCACTATCAAAATCAGTCTAGTAGGAAGTTTGTTGTATAGTTTACCAGTAGTTTGTTGACCCCCTCCCCGCTTTGATTTTATACTATTTTCTTTGATTTGTACCTGGTACCCTAAAATATGACCCCCGGTTGTGGTGTAGATTACTACTCGAGTTGCTAAAGTGTTAGTGCAGACTCAAATTCAAGACGGACGCTCTCGGTCGTATTCGCATCAATCGGTGGCGGCGGTGGAGAGTCCTTGTAAGATTAAGACCGGGAGGGAAAGAAAGTGGATTCCGCGCGATAAGTCAAGAAGTCATCATAGTCATAGCATTTCATACCAACAATGCCGACAGGATAATTTTCATTAAAAATTCAGGAGCCCAGGGCTAGTTCGGGTCTAGTGTCACTGGATGCTCTCTTCCAAAACTAAAACTAAACCGACTGCTGACCTGCAAAACGTCCAAACCACTGCAACTCCTTTCCCTTTTGTTGTCCCAAACCCCGAAATTGCCATGAAATTTGACGCTCCTTACAATACATACACATACATTTTCTTTTTTCCCCGAGTCTGAAAGGCTACTGCGCTGCTGGGTTGTTACTGCTGCTGCTACTCCAACTGCTACGACTATTGCTGCTGCTGCTACCCATCTTATGCTTCTTCCTAT